TTTCATAACTCAGTTTGGTGTGTCTTTCTGTATGTGTGTGTGTGTGTGTGCCAGAGGGCGGGTTTACATCTGCCACACTCCAGCTTCTCATCAGGCTATAGATGATGCTTTTGAAGTTTTTTTTTTTTTTTTCTCTCTCCAAGCGGAAAGGGGCTTTTGATTGGTGAAGCAGAGTGTGTGTGTGTGTGTGTGTGTGTGTGTGAGTGTGTGAGTGAGTGAGTGAGTGAGTGCGAGCGTGTGTCACCTCAGGCAACGTATCAAACCCCTCCATGCTACCCCCAACCTTCATCAACCCCCTCCTTAAGCCTCACTCCAACCCAACTGGGAATCAATTTGTTTTATTAATGAGAGTCAGAGGAAGTGTCAGTTATGTTTTGAAAAATCGCCTGCAAAAAAACCCACAAAGGGTTTTGCTGTGTCTAAAGAGGAAGAGACATTTTATATCACATGAATCTAAGTATGCCAGGCTTGTCTGGAATGTCCTTTGGCTCGTTTCTGCTCAGCCCACAGTTGTTGTTCACAGTCGAAGGTCAGCAGACAAAGCCTTTGTGGCCTTTTCCTGTGAATGAAACTGTCCTCATGTTGACTTTGTGACGTGATGGATGATCACAATGGCTATTCTGCCAGGGTGCATATTTCAGATGGTACGCCCACATCTGTTTGTAAGGGGGGAATAAAAACATGGGAGAGGAGAGGCATCTTAAAAATGCCATTTGTCGGAGAGGCATGCAACTACACATTCACAGAATCGTGGGCAGACGTGGAGTATGTACACAAATGCTGTCAATGTATAAAATACTCCTTTATGAGAAGAAGTCCTTTATTCAAAATTCTATGGAGTATTATCAGCAAAAATGTACTTAAAGTATCAGCATGTCATTATTAATTAATCTATGTGCAAATATCATTTTACTATTGCAGTTCAATAAGGTGGAAGTATTGTGTGGCCCTGAACGAGATGCAGACATAATGCAGACTTCCCCAGTCATAAACAAGTCTTAGTTTAGTATAGTATGTGATTGTCATAAAAGTGCAGTATGTCATAAAAAATGTAAAGAAAAAAAACACAACCATAGCTTAGCATGCTTTAAAAAACGAATTAGAAAGTTTTAGTATTGTAAGCCATAAAAAATGTCCAAATAGCCCTAGTTTAGTATTCCATGAAAAATTACAATAGCAAGACATAATGACTCATACGTGTTTAAGTTGTTTTTGAAGACAGTTATTTAAATTTGATTTTTTTTGTTTTTTTTAATCAAACCCTGAATTATTAGAAGTGGCAGCTGAAACTTCATCACATGCTATTTAAATGTAATTGCTGTATGAGATTTATTTTGAAGTATTGTTGATTTTGAAAGATAGACTTGCAATAGTTGCTCCTATACTGTCTCTCTGTATCTCACCGTGGCCTTCCAGTGTGACAGAAGATATTGTTTAAATATGGTAAAATATGGTTCAGTCTGAAGAGGTTCTGAATATATAAGTGCAGATTTAGTATGCAGGCTTCAGGTCTCTTTTTTTCCTCCTGGTGCTAGCTGACCTGTCAAGCTACTGAGCGCTCCCCTCCACAGTAGCACGCACGCACGCACACACACACACACTTCAGACAAGCAGAGAAGAGCATTCGCTCCAGTGGTTAGGCTGTCTGACTGTCTGTCTCTCTCACATTGTTTACTCCTCATTTGCTTACTCAGTCAGCCAGGAAACCTCATAGCTGCTGCCATCAGAGATGCCCACAGCCAGAGAGAAGGGGGGGAGAGAGGGGGGAGTCGGTAAGATGCCACACCACAACCAGCATAGACACAGGGGGGAGAGACAACATTTTCCGTATTAATTTAGTCTTGAAGGTCATGCTTGTTGTGTCTTTCTTAATATTCACACCAGTAAAGTGAAGAGTAAGTAAGTAAAGAGAATATGGGAGAGGAAGAGTGATGTTTACTTACAGAGATTTGCTGCGAGGGACACTTATGTAACTGCGAAGAAATGAGTCTCCTCCGACAGTCCACAGCTTTTAAGATGTGGCTTCTGGTGGTATTTTAATTTCAAACACACACACGCACACATGCAGACATAGGCATGAACTATACACACTATACACACTCCATGTCTATCTACAGCCACAGATACTCACACATTTTATTGCTCATACTCTCCCCCGGTGGTTATAATCTTACCAAATGATCTCTTAATAACAACCTGAAAGCAAAATATGCTCTGTGCACGTAGCTACAGTTAACAAACATAGAACGATTCAGTCGGCTGTACTTCTCTAGATATTGTGAAGTAAAGGCAGTTTTTGCAGATCTGTCAGATCACACCTGTTTCTGCCAGAAGGTACATTATTGATCTGCCTATTGATTGTGGGGTTTCTCACACACACACACACACACACACACACACACCGATATTTGGGTGGTGCAATGTCCCTGTCGGTTCCACCGCGCTGCCCCCTTTCTTATGGCTTAACAAGAAGCCGTAACTGCTCTTCCCCTCTCTCTTGCCCACCTCACACACACACACACACGCACAAACATCCCCAAAAACACACATGCAAATTAAGCGTGAATTCATATGCACACAAAAACCAAACGCACACATGCAAAGACATACCATATACTTTTTCATCCAGGATCCAGATTGTTATGGCAGTGTGTCCTCTTTCTTCTCCTCCCGCCCCCTTTTTTTTGTTTCGGCGGACTCTGAGGTTCTTTTGTCTCCAGTCGACTTTCAAATGTCTATTTATTCGCCGTGATTTAATTGCGTTGCTGGCAAGATCTGTTTGAAATTGCCCGTTTAGCAGATTTTGCATGACAAAAGGAGCTTTTGACCGGCCTGCTCATCCTGCTGTCCAGTGCTAGGTCATCTTTTCAGAGAGCGGTGTTTCATCTTTTTATGCACGTCTGCATTGTATTTTTAAAATCCATACATTATCCTTTGATGAATTATTGTACCCACACTGGCACTAACATGTCCACATGCTTGACTGGACATAACTTGTTACAGGCATGATGTCACGGCTACAGAAGGGGACTTTTTGGATCAGCCTCTTTTTTTACATCCAATTAACAGCAGCCTTTGAAGTTTTTCAGTTGGTTTTGAAAGGATTTAACAATGGCGTTGCATTATGTCACTCAATTGTTTGTTGTAGGGCATCCCCTAAAGATATTATGTAATTTGTTACACAAATCATGTAATGTATAGTGTATATGCATGCAGTGTAGAGCCTTTTTAGAGGAATAATTTCTGCTCATCAAATTTGTAGACATTTAGATCATTGCTTTCCATCTTTAAATATTTAGGACATGATTTTACAGAGATCCAAATATCTGGAAATGTTCATTTGATAATCAAATCACTCAGAGCACAACTTGTAAACAACTTGCAAAACATTCGGTATAGGCCGTTTCCCTCGTGTCTCTCTCCAGCAGTTCATTTCCCTCCGACTGTCTGAAACACATGGCACGTGGAAATGGAGGAAGACGAAAGGAAGAGCTGAGGGACAATGAAAAATTGATTTCCACACGAACAGCAATGAAACATATTCTCAAAAACAAGTCGAAGCGTTGACAGAACCAAGTTTTTAACCATATTAACATCATTACACGACCATTAATAGCAGTACTTTAGAGTCCTTGTGGTATGGGACAATTTAACTTAATTGACAAAAAAAAGAGCTCAGAATTTAAGCTTCCAAAAACAATAAAAACTTCACTCAAACTTTACACCTAAACAGATCTATGAAATGTGTAGGGCCTTCATTCACGTGAGAGGTGATGAGAGCTAGTCCTTCAGAAAGCTCATGCCACGGGTTATTTTTGTGATCATTTAGGATTTATATCCACATATTCTCTATTGATTTGTAAAACATTAATTCAACTATACCCACTTCCTCAGAGATTTAAAGTTGTCTCCAACTGGTGTTTCTATCATCTGTTGCCAGGTCTTCTAAAAGGACAGATGCTCTGACAACCCTTTACTTTGAAACAAATAGAGGAAGACTTTGAAAGTGTACGTGAACCACAAGTAGAGATGTCTCATTTGGAAGTGGAGGATTGTTTAAACACCACAGCTCAGTAGCTCAGACGTCACAAACATCTTCAAACGTCAAGCCTGCAGGCAGCACATTCAGAGCCACCTCCCTGAACCTGAATGTGGGTACATTCCTCTCTGGTTCTCCTCCCTGCCAGTCTGCACAAATGTGCCAACCAGACTTCTTCCCACCTAACGCCCAGTCTGCACTGCACCGCTTTCTCACATAAACCTGGCCGCTGCAGAATGAGGGATATGGACGAACATCACCTGACTCACGCACATTTTTCAATGTGTGCGCACATCATACACGCGAGCAGTGGGGGGGGGAAGTAACAAAATACATTTACTGAAGTACTGTTCTTAAGTGCAATTTTGAGGTACTTGTATTTTGCTTGAGTATATACTTCTACTCTATTCACAAGCTACCCAGCAATATACAAAGTTATTCAAATGAGCCTCATCTTCAAGATTTAAGGGATGTACGCATGAATGCATCACTAAATAATACTCTGATAATGATTGGCAGTATTCAAAGCAAAAATGTGAATGCATGGCTTTTACTTGTATAAGTATTTCTACATTGTAGTATTGCTACTTGCACTACAAGATCTGAGTACTTCTTCCACCTCTGCATGCGAGTGCCAGGGCAGCAGAGGCTTGCTCTTCACATACCACATAACTAGAATGTGTGATATCGCTACTACGGGGGGGGGGGGGGGGGGAGATTATAAAGAGAGACAGGGAATGATGGACTGTTCATCTCGCTGGATCTTCAGTGTGCACACAGACAGGCGGAAGGAGACGAGTGTTCCTGGTAAATACCAAAACCGCTCCTAACCTGCGTTTGGGAACTATTCCAGGCATGTTAAGAGTACCTGTGTGATTATATGGCTGCCCACGCTGATTTAGTGGCACAGCTGCTGAATTCCCATCATTCCTTGGAAAACAAGAGGACAAACAACGGAAAATAGTTTTCTAACAAGATATTTATTGATGAGGGGTGAGCTGTATATGGAGTAACAGATGGTTTATCAGTAATAGCTTAACATATCAAGTGTATTTGATATATTGGAAAACTGCAGACTTGCACACAGAGCAAATGAAGATCGTTCAACTTGATAACTTGCTACAAAAACACTGATTATTCACACTACCCCAGCTGGGTTAAGACAAAGATACAAAATTAAGACCATTAAGAGTTTCCATTGTACAAAATGTGCAAATCAAAGGCTTCTACAAATTCATTACAAAGCAAATATACAAACTATAAACACAAAAGACTTCCATTAAAGATCCGGAAATATAAAATGAAAACATATCATAGCTAGAAAGTATTTAACTACTTTGGACACACTTAGCTTTAGTTATTTAAATCCAGAATGGTTCAGGTTTTGGCAATATATATATACATGTATACATACGACCACCGCTATTAAATGTAATCATACATTTACACTTGACAAAACAATGTAAGAACGTATTCTAAAATAAGAGATTTCTGTCAAACTGTTTCTCACAAAATGATACATTCACAAAAAAACAAGACGTTGGCAGATGTGCTCGAAGGAGTTAGAAGTTACCTTAGCTCGAACAAATACAGGCCAAACAAAACAAAACCCTGAGACACAATATACACAAAAACATGACAAAATCATAGTTTGAAATAACATCTCGAAACAGAAAAAGTATCTTCTTCGGCCGTAATGGGCCACATTCTCTCTTGCGAGCATGTATTTTAAGTCGAGGAGGATGATACAAGTTTAGCTTACCAAAATTGAGGGAAGCCCGAGTCCGAAGGCTAAAAATAAAGACGGGAAGATCGTTTCTGTGCACAAAATCATACACTTCCCCAAATGTCTTCTCTCCTTCTCCATACACCTGGCAGAGCAAAGGTCTAATTCTGTCCATCAGCAGTCCAAATAAATTACACCTGAGTAATCGCCGAGTGACTGGAGGGGAGAGAAACTACAACAAAGGACCATCTGACTTTCTCTTTCAGTTCACTGTAAAACCACAAGTCAGTGAGAGACTCTAATAAGTCCTTAGTCTGTTAAACTGGTAATCTACTGGCGAGATGATACACATATTAAATGATGTCGTGAGTCAGCTGAGCAGTGCAGGGCCCATACAGTCACCGCAGCAGATTCTCCCCAGGAGGAGGAAAAATCCCAGAGCACACATCTATACTATCGCTCTGCTTCCCGGCTGTGCTTCGCATGTTAAGATAGAGGTTGTGAGCTCCCTTTAGTAAACATGGCAACGGGTCCAGCTCACGGCTAGTGGCTACATGGGAAAGTTACACAAGAAGAACGAGTAAACAGATCAGGTGGAAAGAGGCGGCAGACTTCCAGTCTCTGGGCCGTCTCTAGGACTCGGGCATTCGCTTCTCTGCAGCTGACGATGGATGTGAATCAGGCTGGATGGAGCCGCAGCCTCAGGACTACACAGACTCTTCCTCTTCCTCCGTGCAGACAGTAAAGTGAGAAACACGCCTGCATACCAGACACCGCTGCTTATCTGGGGAAAGAGACAAGAGGGAGATTAATGTTCAGGTCCTGTGAACGCTGCTGTATGAGGACCGACAATACGACACGAGGGGCGGCCTGGACATTCTCAGGGAGCGGACAGGAATGCAGGGATGTCGGGTCCTCCGCACTACACATCAGCTTATCGCCATGCCATTTTATCAGGCACATGGCGTTAATAATGCCTCAAGACGGGCGTTATTTAACTAAAGTCCTCTTGGCATGTGGGATTAAGCTGCTCATGCCATTTATGTCGCTAGGTAATAAATATCTGAGGGTGGCCGTGGAGGAGACACCACGCTGTAAGGATAAGCTTCTCTGGACTACACACAGATTCCAAAAACATCTGCTCATCTGGATATAATTCATACTGTAAGAGGCTTTCTTATGGTGAAGCACAATTTTTACTACATTATAGACGACCTAAAATACAACTTTGAGAATTCGATGGCCTTTCTTTGCAACCTCAGATGTTTCAGTATCTAATCTTCCTCCCCTGCTGTTATGAGGGAATGTTGCACTGGATAATATGTCGGGGTTGGAGAGAAATGTTAACCTCCAATTTGCATATTTGTGATAATAAGTCAGGTCTGCCGGAGCAGATGAAGGCTTTGTGTGTGTGCTCTCTATTCTAGGAGGAAGGCAGTTACAGGCGTGCTCTGCTGGGGGCTTGTTTAGATAACCTAATGAGTTCTCATTTCCATGGCTGACAAAGCCGGCTGATACTACTGAAGCCTCAACTGATCCATACGCATCTGTTACTGTTGTGAATACATCGCCTGAAGCACAACAGTGGGACGCAGCCAGAGAACGGCACCACTGGAATCACAGCTTCAAACAAGCTATAGAGTAAGAAGCAAAACTACATTTGAACTTTCTGTACATTACCACAAAAAAACAACTACATTTTGTGATAAACCTGAATGCTAAAATTCACGTTTTAGATAACAAAATGCAAAAAAAAAAAAAAAGTTTATTTAACAGGCCTTAGTGCTCAATTAGGATTTACTGCTCAGTGTGAACTGATCAAGGACCTGAATTGACCCGCATGCGCAAAGAACAATACACGTGATATCGTACGGAGGTTAACATGGAGGCCACTGGAGTCAGTCCGTCAGTCAGTTTACGGTTTCGTTAATACGTTGATGTGCAGTGGAGGCCAGTGAATTTCTGAGCAGAAGACAACAAGGACGAGGACGAGGAAAAAGACATTTTGAATGATGGCTTTTTGTGCAGCAAATGGCAATGGCTGCTACTTTTGTACGGAGGTGTGTGTGGATGCAGAGTCGGAGCCAGTATTGATAACATCTTGACGTGAATGACTTCACTGAAACACATCTCATTCAAAATTTAAAAGCTTCTTCTAACTACACTTACAAAAGCGCGTATGAGCGGGATTGTATTGGCTGAGCGATTGATCCAGAGTGACTTAAAAGTTGCATGAATTCCGATTATAAATGTATAAAAATGACAAGTTGTGTTTTTTTCGATACCCAGATCTGAAACCAACCCGTAACAGCACATTTGCTGCAATACAAACTCAGCTCACCCTTCCTGATCAAAGTAAAGCCCCAGTAGCAGCACTTACTGCATCACATGCGACTGCAGGCCTGATGGAAGTTTCTATTGCTGCTCTCTCGGTGTGTACATGGGCATGGGTCACTGCATGCACTTCTTAAGTTCTGCTGCTGCTGCTGCTGGTGTTCTAATCTCAGATGATGAAGAGCATGACTCACAATCCTAAATACTCCGCCGCTCTGCTCAACACTCCAACTATGGCAATATCACCGTTTCATGAAAGTTGCAGCTTTATATTAAGTCCTCTATTTCTACCTACTGCAGAGAGAGTGGGCTCTCCCTTGCTGCATTCATGCTCGAGACACCCGCAGACCAACGCACAGGATAGGAAAGTAAATATCACACAGATCAAAAACACTATTGGATTTTACTTGGATTTCTTCTGCATTACTGAACAACCAACAAGACTGTATTCCATAGAGATACACTGTGACCCACAAAGGTTATGTGTCTGTCCTCATCAGTACATTCATCAAAAACACCATCCCCGTCTCGCATCATCAAACTTCAGCTCCCTCCGCCGCTCACAACAAGGGTCCCGCTGTCACCAGCAGTGAGCTCCAGACTGCCTCACAGTCGCGTTATTATTACCTGTCACGTCAAGGTTGATTCTACTCATCACTGAGCTTCAGCGGCCACACAGTTCACCGTTTACCCACATTTCAAACCACAGTCGTTTATGTGGACAAGCTCGTCCTGACTTGCATGCAAACTTTGTGCTTTCAAACTCACGCTGCGCAACAATCGAATCGACCTTCACAGATCTGACTTCCTTCTGCCAACAGGGAGCAAGATGTCTGGAGTGCCAACAGGTGGCCGGGTTAATAACCGTAACCCAGAAAGTACCCAGTTGCCCCCCCGTGTATGTCTTTGGTCCGGTCCACTGCAGTAACCGCTGTGAGGGACGCGGGGAGTCCACGCGCCCTTCAGTGAACCAAACAGATGGGCTGGAACTATATGAAGTGATTGGATGTGGCACTCTGAGGTTAAACCTGACTCAGTCTGTCTGCTCCCATCACTTATCTTTCTCCTCCACATGGGACTGATGCCAGATTGAGTTTGACAAAAGAAAACAATTACCAAATCTCAAGCTTTTCTATGACTCATAAACGACACACTGTCTGGCTGACAGAGCGCGCATGCGCACACGCACACACCACAAGACTAGGTCACATTTATCAAATGAACACCCATCACTGACATTCATCTCCATTAGCTTTAGCTTTAGTGCATCTTGGGCTCCATCTGCGTCTTCCAGGGGCCCAATTACCCACCATGCACCACACCAAAGCTGAGTCCTTTTTCGTTATTTGTCCCTTGTGTCCACAGGGCCTGTGCCATGTTTACTAATGACCACAAAGAATTGCACTGTATTGACTAACGTATGAATCACAGGGACTTCATTTACATGAGTTTGCATTGTTTCCAAGGACGGATAAAGGACTCCGGGGTGAGCTCAGAGACGAGCTCAGAGACACAAGTATCCTGGTACGGCTGCAAAGTGTATTAAGTCTTGATGAATCCTTGCAGGAACTCTAGTTTAAGACTTAGAACAAAGAGCGTCTCTGTGACTGAATACGCGCCACTTCAGTAATACTTCAGCAAATATTACGTAATTCAGATTAATTACCAGGCAGACACACTGCGTTCCATCCCAGCTGGCTTACTGAAGAGGCCCCTGTAACTGTATGACAGCTCGCCTCTTTTTAAGGGCATAATCAAATTAGTCTGGGTGATTATTCAGCCATTTTAAGCATCTTTTCCCCTTTTCCTTTTTGTTACTCGCAGCATGGAGAAAAGACCAATAAAAACCCCATTAGGTTTATGCAAATTTAAGCAGCCACGCCGAGGGCTGTAATGTGGCAGATTGATTACTCAAGAGACTGAAGACAAAGTGTGTGTGCACGTGCTGACTCTGACTGTGGATGTGTGTGTCTCTCTCAGAGAAGGGGGGGGGGGGGGTCGTTGTTGTACACAGATGCCACAATAAAAGCCTCATTCAGCTTGTGTTCCTGGTGGCCCTCACAGCAAGGCATTAATAAAACATTAGTATTGAGTGACTGGGGCCTCTGCACTCCTCCTCCCTGATCCCATCGTGACCTTTCCATTTTACAGCAGCTGTCTGGGGAAGCAGACAGCCCGCCAAGGACTCCCTCGGTGGCCCCTGACCTCTCCAGGTGTACCCCATCACACAGAGCCGTGCCCACCTCATAAGGCGCTTGAAGCCGTTAAAAAGAGAATGCTGCTTATGTCTATGATTTTTAGGAGCGGAGAGGGGTGATGAGGAGGGGGGGGCTACGAAAACAAAGGTTCAAGTGTAGATAACAGTCATGCCTGGGGTCGTTATGGTTCAGTTTAAAGGAGAAAGAGAGAGAGATCGTCCTGAACGTTGTGCGGGGAGCTCTGGTTACATCCTGTCTGGCTGTAGTCTGGTACCAACAACTGACCAGATTACACTATGACGGTACTCTGTTTACTTTTTCCAAAACACGCGCTGAATATACCAATAAAGCCTCACAGGTAACTGTAACGTTTGTGCAGGCAGTAGTCACATATTACACTAAAACTGTATTCAGGTATTCTTGTTTTTAGCCTTTAAGGGTTGCTTACTTCTCCTGCCTGGACCATAACAAACACGAACCATAATGCTTTAACATTTACACATACTTTTCCATCAACAGTGGGTTCTGGCTTGGCCCTGGAGTCTGTGGTTACTCACATCTGGTGGAAATGCACAGGGCCACACACTACAGCAGAGCGTGGTGACAAAAATGCTGGTAATCCGATCCAGGCCATGCAAACGGCCAGGACAACTGCACGGCCTCGACCACAAGGCAACATTAACAAATCTTTACTAATGGCAATGCAGGCCACGCCTTCATTCCTCCCAAATTAGAGTAAGGATGGCTGGCTTTTTAAAGGACGGGAAATGCCAGCAATGTGACTGCCTCTCTCTCTGTGTGTGTGAGTGAGAGTGTGTGTGTGAGAGAGAGAGAGAGAGACAGACAGACAGACAGACAGAGTACTACGAGTGGAAAACCAGTGGTTTCACAACTGTGTAAAAACTCACAATACGACTAGTGAATACTTGAAAAGCTGACTGGTGGTTTTTGGGTCCCATTGTAAACATGAAAAGAACACACATACACAAACACACACACTTGCACGCAAGACACAATCATTTTTCTCTCTGACCCAGCTGAAAGTTGACAACCTCGGGTGCAAAGTATTTTTAGGCAGGCGTTAGTCTCGGCTGCCAAATGGTGCAAAATATAGCTTTGCTCCTCCTGGTCTTACTCGCTCTCCACTTCCTCTTTCTATATGCGTGTGTTTGTTTGTGTGTATGCGTCCTGCTCTGTGTCACTTTGTTGCTCCCTACATTTTTTTTTTTCCCACTTCACTTCTCCTCACAAGCCCCCCGCGTCTCGGGTGAGAGGGAGTGGACCAGCGTCAGGGTAGGACGCCGTCTTCACAGGCTGGAAATCTGAGCTTTTTCCATGTGTGCTGTAATTAAAACAGAGAGGCAGCCGGCAGCGGGATGGTAGCTACCGTAACTGCAAGAGTTCATAAAGATGCTGTGCCTTGATCTTTCATAGCCAGCCTGTCTGTCTCCATCCCGGCCAAAAAAACCTTGGCTAGCGGTCCATACCGGCAGCCTCATAAGGCTAAGCCCCCAGCTCCATCATATCCAGCTGTTTACTGTAGACATAAGCTCTCTGCTTCCGCTCAGCTTTACTTTCAAAAGTTCTTGGCAGCATAAAAGGAGCTTGTTCAGAGTCACCTCCCGTACTTCGCAGTACAGAGGAGTATGATTTATCCAAACTTTAGACACAGAAAAGGAGCAATCCTCCTCACTGTGCACACTATTTACTTCAGCATTCCTATCTACGTCAAGGACAGAATCTCTTTCTTGACAACTGGAAAGACTTTAAACTTAACCTTCAACTGTTGAGGAGGCATTGAAATAAATGCTTTACCAGTCTGGTATATCATATTAGTACATATGCGTACTGAAAGACTGAAAACAACAACTAGGCTGGTGGATTTTGTTTCATTCGGACAGAGACAGTCTAACAGCTCCCCCTGTTTCCAGTCCAGCTTACTGGCAAACCGCCTTCTATTGAACAGACAAATGAAAGGATGGTATCAACCTTCTGCAAAAAAAAAAAAAAAAAGTGAATAAATGTAAACATTGCACAGTGTTGCTTTGATGGGCTTTGATGGGCTTTGAACGGGAGCTTTATGACAAATGGGCTGCATCAAACAATTGAACCTATAGTACAAAATAATACTATAAAAGCTCTGTGAATGTAGTCAGCGTAATAAAGCCTCCAATAAAAATAAAACCACAAAACCCCGTAGTCTGGGTAGTAAAAAGAAAACCCAACAACTACTGCAGCAATGGGCCGTTTTTCATTGATTGCAACAGTGCTAAAATAAGATCACAGGACAGGCCTCCCATCATGAAACTTAAAACTAGCTGTACCACCACCAGGCACATGAAAACCACCTGCAACACCTTCTAAGCATCACTGCACAGCCTCTTCTCGTTTCATCTGCCGGCCCCTCCATCCCTCCATTCTCACCCTGTATGAACTAAAAAAACACCTCGGGGAAAAATGCATCATCTCTTATCTCACACGAAGCTGTGAAAACTGCCACCTGTCATCCCTTCAGGCAGATGAGGCCGAGCGATTCTTCACTGATGTGGTACGTTACATCTGAGTCAATCATATTTTTTATAACCTTGAGATGTATCCTTTCCTTCTTATCTCCACTAGCCCCTCCTGAATTCCTCAGACTTTTCTTTATTACTTTTAAGCAGAGCAGATTGCCCTGGCGTCTGTCAGCACATGTGCTACTTCCTTTTTGTCCTTTAAAGCACTTTGAGAAAGGTGCTATATGAATAATGTAGGAAAAAAAGGTAGGCTTGTATCGCTATGTGTTCAATGGACTTTTGGGGGAAAACTTATTTATTTGAGGTTTTTCAATGATGTAAAAGAGTGGTGTATCACACATACGGTATGCATCTAAAGCTCAGCGAATGCTCCTTGTGCTCCTCTGGCTCTTAGCCCTCCATATGTCAAACACCACATGTCTCATCACCTTTTATAAGTTACAGCTGTTCAGGTACCGACTCCTGCTCGGCCCACTAGGCACGGACCTGATCCCTGCCTCTCCACCCCGCTCCCGTCAGTGACAGAGGTCTTGTGCTGCAGCTCTCGCTCTGTAATTACCAGCACTGCTGACATTCCTTCTGCTCTCCAAACCAGGACTGCACCGTGTTTATCCAACACCCAGCCGTCGCAGCAGCTAGATAATGTGTAACTGTAACCACTGGCAACCCTGAAAACAGCGAAGGGCTTTTAAACCGGGCTGGTCCAGTTCAAACTGACATTTACCTCCGTTGCGTAAGCATGTTGTGGGAATTATCTGAAGATAGTTTTGCTTCCACAAACTGAGTTCCACTTTATCATCCGACAGTAAAAGGGACACTATGAATAGCACGTATAATTGACATTGTGTTTGTTTGTGTCAGTTTAAGGAAACTACAATTACTCACCTCAAAGAGTGCGTTCCTCTCTATGCTGAGAGGTACTTCCATGTGCTGACGAAGGCGGTGGGAATGAGTGAGTAGGGCACACTGGTCACGCTGTCCCAAGAGTCCGACGAGGGATCGTAACAGTCGAGTGTTTTACACCTCTGAGCCCCAAAGTAACCCCCAACCACATACAGCCTGTTTCCTGACGCCACCGCGTGACAGCTGATCCGCTTGGCCGTCACGTCGCCAAACTTTGACCACTGGTACGTCTCGCTGTTGAACCGGTAAGCGGAGCTGGCAGAGAATTCCGTGTCGCCACCGATCACCACGACATGGTTGCCAACCACGGCCGCTGCCGTGTAGCGCCACAGCTGCGGACAGGCGGCCGGCACAGACCACCGGTTCTGGCATGGGTCAAAGCACTGCACCTTGGGGTATTTGTCTCTGTTCACGCTGGTGCCCCCGAAGGCAAAGAGTTTGTTTTTGGCACCGACGACGGCAGCGTTGCTCACCCCCTCTCTGAGCGGAGCCACCAGCGTCCATTTATTGGTCTGAGGGTCGTACTGTTCCACCTGTTTGAGGGACACAGACGGGGATGCGGGGAACGATCCTGCAAGAGAAGTGTGTCCTCCCACAACGTACAGCATGTGGTCGAGCTCCGCCGACCCGTGTCCGAACCTGGCTACCAGCATAGGTGAAGCTTTGGACCACTCGTCGTGTAACGTGTCGTAGACCCAGACATCTTTGGAGGCCCCGTTTTCAGAGCCACGTCCACCGGTTACATACACCTGAGACACATGGAGAGAAGTCATATTTTTGTGTACTTCTACACAGCATTACATTAAAACGCACGTAATCAAGCATAGATCATATACATACCTTGCAACCAATTGCACATGCGCTGCATTCTTTCCTGGGGCTGGGGATGTCTGTCTTGGGGGTGATCTCCTTAGTCTTGTTGTCGATCATGTAGACTTTATCACACATGAAGGTCTGTCCTCCCAGCAGCAGTAGGGCCTGGCTGACTTTCCTCGGCCTGGCGCAGAAGCCCGTTACAATACCGTCATTCTGGAGGATCCTCATTTTGCACTGTACCGCGTCTTCGACGATCTCCCGTCCCACCTTATGGCACATCACCAGCTCCTCTGAAGCAACGTTCTTTAGCAGGTATGTTTCAGGGAGCAGCGCCAGACGGACACAACGCAGCAGCTCGGGCAGCTCGCTGTGCCTGTGCTCCATGTCGGCCTTGACCCAGTCGATAACAGCCTCGTACACCAGGCTCTCGTCCTCCACCTCCAGTTCCTCGCTGAGGATCAGCTCCTGGACTTTGTCTCTGGGCAGGCTGAGGAAGTCCTCAGTCCTGAAGAGAGTGGCAAAGTCTGCCAGGCACATCCTCCACGACAGCTCGTACAGTCTCTGGCACTGATGGGCGTCTGACAGCAGCATCATCCCCAGGCAGTTTGACTGGTCGAGGTTCTTCTCCAGAAACTCTGCCGCAGCGTCCCTGATGTCGTGAAACTGAAGCATGTCGCCGGCTTCCAGGAGCGACTCCGCATTTTCCTCGTTGATGATGATTCGGGCCGAGTAGGCGTAGTCGAGCAAGAGCTCCAGCACCTCTGGATGGAGGGAGTCGTGGAAGTTGACTTCGGCGTCGCGACTCTCCCTGAGCCCGCCGCTGAACATGGCCTCAAAGTATCGGCTACAGGAGGCCAGGACGGCCCGGTGGCAAGGGAAGGAGCGGCTTCCGGCCTTTAGGACGACATCTGTGAAGACTTTTCGTTTGCGTAACAGGTTGAGCTGCGTCAACAGGCTGTCAGCGTGGGTCGTCTTGTGGAAGAGTTGGATATTCATGGAGCCGGAACTAGAGCGAGACTTTCTGTTTTCGTGGTTACTGACAGACATCTTGACTTGGACCTGGAGGAGGAAATAGAGTAGGAAAAAATATAAGTACAAGTGGCAACATCCATTCCTTTAATGTTTGTTTAATTCAAACGTTTCTAACAGTTGGACAGGAAGAAGAGATTTTATCAGGTCTTGCGCCCTCCTTTTGATGTGAACACTACCATAAACACTCCCCCCCCATTCTATGATCAAACAAAACTCACTGTGCCAACAGCGGGTGAATGGGTTGTTCAGAAATAAAATACTCATATCAGCGCGCGGTACGGAAATAAACTTCAGCCTTTAAGTATGAAAGAAAATCAGATAAGGAGCACTCCCACACAAATTCAGTGTGTGTACACAGATATGTACACTGTAAGACACACAGCAGTGTCAACACTCAATTCTCAAACAAATTAGCCACATTAACTGGCTTTTAATTTAACCTTCCTTCTATAATTTATGATAGTCAAAGAAACGACACCTGGGCGTGTTACCCTAGATCACAGCACATCTTTCCACCCATATAAACATGTCAGGTTGGTGAGTCACCTCCAAACAAAAGGGAGAGCCAATCAATTCCTTCCAGCTTGTTCTATTCTCCAGCTGTTTCACACATCAGATGGTGCCGAAGCTTCCAAGCCCACATAAGTCCAGCTCCTTGAGGATGAAATTATGCAACCGCAGTGCAACAGATGAATGTGGATTCAGACAGGCCTGCAGCCATTACATCAAGTTTATGCTGAATTTAAGAAATTAACTTAATTGCATGCCAGGAGTTTTATCTCTAATTAATATAATTGTATAATAACCGCTTTGTAATCATTATGGAACAGTAGGTTAATAAAGTCGTTTTTCAAGACATAACTTGAAAACGACCAAATAAATATCTTCCGCTTTGAAGCCTCCATTGTTTCACAGCAGATACATTTAAGTCGGCTATTCACTCCCACTGAAAGGGGAACTGTGGACTTCCGCGGAGGGACTCAGCGTGAAATCCAATTCGTTTTGTGCAGTAAATGTGAAACTGCGGTCAGCGCTTCTGCATGCGCTCAACTTTCCTCCCGAGTTCGCCTGCAAACAGCCAGGCTGCTACAATCAGCCAACATCAAAGGAGCCGACGCTACACACTGTGGCTAAACTACTCACATGTCGGAAGTTGCAGACATATCAAAGGCGCACTGTTTGTTGGTGATCGATGCTTTAGGGAAAATGAGCCGTTTGATGCTTACCTTGATGGGCGCAAAGCTGATCCGGGATTCCTTTATCTCGGTTCAAACTTGTCCCGTCGCTGATTTGTTTGAAGTTGTGGCACAATTTAGACAAACCCGCATTCCGAGTTTAAAACTGCATCGCATCCTAAAGGGTTCGGGAACGGTTGAGCCATTTGTCTGCGTCGCAAATAGACAACGTTAAAAAGTTCGCAGTTAGGATAGTTCTCGGGAAGCCACGCAGCCTGCAGGAGAGCAACGAGCAAAGCGGAGAGAAAGCGCAGAGCCGCCGTGGTGTTCAGCCTGGCTCCTCCTACTCCTCCTCACATTGTCCAATGGGCTGAGGCGTCTTTATTCTCCATCCAACTTCAGGGTCAATGCACAGCATTACCGCAGAATAGCGTTGCCTTGAAGAACACAAGAAACACCTGCCAGTGTGTTTCACCTACCTGCTATGTTTCTCACTTTGACTCAGAAGTACTCAGGGGACAAGCTCTACGTTTGCCTCTACTACCAAAGCACACGCATTTGTACAGTATACCTTTCAACAACATCAAGACACGACATACACGAAATAAGTATAAATAATATAATATAGGAATCTGTCTAAATTATTTTTGAATGATTTGATTATGAATTCATTATTTCTGTAACATGTGATTGCCAAACACGAAGGCTTAAATGGCTTCTCCAAACTGCCAGGAATTACATTTAGGGGAGAAATACTGAACCCTTGATGTATTTATAATTTTGTTGGATTAAAAGTAGTCGAATTTTAACATTTAAAAAGACCATGATCAGTTTAAAAATAACCACCATGCATGTCATTTTTGCTTAACCCCCCCCCCCCCTTTTCATGAAATTTAAATAACCTTCTGAAACCTGCTATCATGTCCACAGTTGTAGCTCTGAAACTGAGAGTATTCTTATAGTATTTCCATCGGATATGAATACTGAAAATACAGTCATCAGGAGCATTAAAAGCACAGTCCCTGCCCTGTTTGCCAGTTCCACATAACCAACAGTCTTAATGATCATATGATGGCAGGTTAAAGCTCTTCTGAGAGCCATGAGATCGTTTCTCCAGCTGAATTCCTTGCATTTTCTGAAGGATTTAAGTACTCATGAGCTATTCGGGACAACAATCGGGCCAGTCAAGAATGAGCCAAGTCAGCCTGCACATATACAAGGAATTTCATGGGCTGCTTAAAACATGGTACAACCCTGAAGCAATGGTTTGAATGATGATGATCTTGAAGTATAAGTTTGGGAAAAGAGGAGTCTCTCTCTCTCTCTCGCTCTCTTTCTCTCTCTCTCTCTCTCTCTCTCTCTCTCTCTCT